AGAAATGTAAAATAATCTATTTCAAAACGGTGGTGTGGACTTGTATAAGAATTTAGGTGTGTCCCCTCTGTGAAAGTAATGAAACAGACTTAAAGTCTCGCAATTTCACAAATTTGCCTTAAAAACTGAGGGGACCCAACTCAAGCGGCTGAGTGGTGTAATATTTATTTAGGCCACTAGGTGACATCCTTTTTCTACAGTATTTTTTTAAAGATGCAAGCTCCCTTTTTTTTATCAATTATTTCCCTTTCCCATGCAGTAACAAATCCTCGCTTTTTAAATAGAATTATAAAACTGAATCCTGGATATTTTTTTAAGTCAAGGGTAAGAAAATAAGGACATGTAGTTTTATATTAGTGTGTTAACTTCAAAATAAAACAAATCCATCACTGAAAATATTAACTATTTAGACTGCATCTGTATGCCTTTAGTTCTTGCCAGAACTTTGAGAGAATACAGCCAATTTGATGTACGTGCATGTTTTCTTTACGTATAGATGACAAACCGGAAGTGTATGAATAAACTTTCACAATAAGACAGTAACGCGTGATGAATGTATCGAACGTATCAAGCAAATTGTGTTTACATTTATGACTGTATTCAGTTTTAAAATATAAGTATACATGAACCCGATTCTAGATATTTCGTAGTGTTTTTAAATCGTTGTAACCAGGCACAAAAGCCTATTTAAATGTTCGAGGAGCTTTTATTTTGACGAATACTGTCTATCGGATGTACATTTATAAATTTGGAAAGCTTGAGTACCACAACGTTCTCAGTTTTGGAAGCAGAGGGAGCACAGTGGGTATTTACTTACCTGTCGGGATACAGAGAAGTATTACCGTGTGAGCATTTTGGATTAGATTCATTCATTCATTATCAGCTTGGTACAGATTGAATTCCCAGTCTAGTCATGGATATAAACGAGGCGTCGTGGAGGGAAAAATGGGGTTTAAATTTCTCTTTTTTTCCAAACAGCTTCTTTTGATTTTAAGCGCTGCCCCAGAGCAGGACTGGACTGTGTTTTTAAACACACCTGACTGCGGTAAAAACTGTTTTTTTCCCCCAGTTTTCTCGCAGTAGACATTTTTAATTGTTCGCTTGGTCCTCCTTATTCAGACTTTTTGGGAAGTTTTGGCTCTTTTGGGCAGCGGAGGCGACTGGCGGAGTCAGGACTGACCACTGGAGCTGGTCCTGAAAAATGGAGGCTGTTATCGAGAAGGAATGCAGCGCTCTCGGAGGACTCTTCCAGACAGTCATTGGAGACATGAAAGTAAGCTAAAGAAACTTTTAAGAGCACAATTAGTGTTAATGTAAAGGAGAACCCCCCCGCCCCCAAGCCGCCTGAACTAAATTGTTTTATCTTAAACTGATGTACCAGCCGACCCTTGGTGAAAAACCAGTTTAGTTGGTAAGAGAGGTAGAGTTGAACTTAAATATACTCTTTTGGAATACAGTTGAGTAGAGCTATTATTCTTTCTAACATAAATTGAAGTATATTTGGACTGTGCTCTGGTTATAATATTGGATACCTTTTTGATCCAACTTGAAATAAATACAGCAGCCATCACTTATGTCCAACTAGGACAGTCAGAATTGGGGCATATAACTTTTGTATTCTTGACTGAGCACCGTGAGACCATTTACACCGTCCCCAGCTGTTGTATTTGCCTGAAGGCACGCTGGAATGTAGCTATCTGGGCAGAAAATTATCCACAAGGTAGGTAGACTTTGACATGCTCGGGTCAAATGTCCAGCCTATGGGGGTCTGCTGGAGTAAAGGAGTTTGTTATGAATACAGCTGAGGTATTCAGCACCTCTCAGTGCCTCATACCGCTCTGCTTGTTCCTCTCTGTAACTTACTGGTAACACGGTGCCAGATGGTGGTGAGGACATGCAAATACTGAGAGTATTTTTGTCTTCATGTATTCAAATTTTCATTCATAGATTTTATGGCACAACTGATAGGAGAATGTAGTTTTGCACGTTACACTGGCTTTCTATGTTTCAGCTTGAAGTGTTTTTTTTTTGTGAGCAGGAACTGCATTACATGTAGTGTTTAAAGTACCTGTAAGAGTATTCACACTATCTGTACCCCCCCACCCCCCCTTTTTAATCATGCTATATGCACAAAACTCAATGTATTCTATTGGGATTTATGCGACTGCATCAGAAAGTGGTGCATAATAAAGTAAAGGTGTACGATGCATGGTTTTCAAACCTGTTGACAAAGGAGCATCTGAAACTTGTGGCATCCATTTGTGATCTGTGGTACACTCAACTGCCTTCTCAAGTCAGCTAATTAGTTAATTGAGTCCACCTGGGTGCAATTTAATCTGGGTCTGACAAACTTATTTTAAACTCAGAGGTTTGTTCTAGAATTGTCAACAGTATGGCATCATGAAGATGAAGGAATACACCAGTTTTGGTGTATGGTTATTAGAAAAAACATATCTTCACAGTTCAATCATTCATCTGTAAATGAAAAGAGAGTTTGGCATAGCTTCTGACCTACAAAGACCTGTCGGTCTGCTTAGACCACAGGTGTCAATCTACAATCCTCACAGGCCGCTGTCCTGTAGCTTTTAGATGTGCCTCTGCTGCACCATACCTCAATAGAATAATTAGGTCATTAGCAAGGCTCTGGAAACTTTTCTACACCAGGAGGAGGTAATTAAGCCATTTCATTCGCGTTTTGTACCTGTGGCACATCTAAAAACTGCAGTGCAGCGGCCCTTAAGGACTGGAGTTTGGCACCCATGGCTTAGATTGATGGGCAGAAGAAATGGCAGCATCATGCTGTGAAGATGTTAAGCTGGGAAAGAGAATCTGGTCAAAACTAGTAGGAAGATTGATGGAGCTCATTCCTGGAAGAAAATCAGTTGGAAGCTGCAAAATACTCAAGGCTATTACAGATTCTAACCATCCAGTAGGTAAAAGACTCTGACGCTTCACTGGAATATGTTGGAATTTCCCAGTCAAAGCCCAAATCCAATTGAGAATTTGTGGCAACCCCAGAAAATTACCTTTCACCGATGCTTACCCATTGAACCTGACTGTTTGAGCAATGTTGTAAAAAGAAATGGCTAAAAACTTCAGTCTGCAAATGTTCAAAGCTAGTAGAAATGGCTCCAAAGACCTTGTAATAAAAAGCAAAGGGTAGTGTTGCAAAGATTTTATTCTGGGGTGGCTGATTGTAAACTTGTCTGGTCTATCACATAAATTATTTGTATGGGTACTTGTAGAAAGTATCCATACAAAGAAATTTTTGCTCTTTGTAGAAGAACAAAAACTTACAAGGTTTTATAACTTTGCATTTATAATGACTGGTAGCTCCTTGGTGCCAACATAAAAAGGGACACAGTACAGTGATAATTCCTAGTAGCTCAGGTAGATATGGAAATAAGGGTCATAAATGTACAACTTTGCACAAGCCAGCAGCACAGGAACATATATTGTAACATATCTTATTCATTTTCGAGAGAAACTTCCGGAGAAAACCCAAATTACTGAATGGTCAAAGAGACTGTGTTTGCTTATTTAAATAGAAATTTGAGATTCAAACTCCAGAACGTTGTGCAGCCTGTTAGGTGACCTTATGTTTAATAGCCTGAACGTCTTCAAGGTCTAGTCTGTCAACAAGTAATAGGAAAAGTATAGGAAGTCAGAAGTGAAGCTTAGAAGTGACTGTATTAAAAGGATGTTAGGTTAAATTAAATGGAGTGAAGGATTGGAGCCATGCAAAAACGTGAAAGTTTGCTGTAGAAATGCACCAAACGGTGCAGTGGTTATGTAATATGAAGAAATTTGGACCGTGGGTCAAATGAGTCGACTTAATTGTTGGGTGTTATGTTTGACAGTACAATGTGACATTCCTCAGGCCCCTGATACTAGTTCCAAAGCAGTGACAAAATGCACGGATTCTTTAGGGAGCTTTATCTCTTGCTTACAAACTTGTTGGCCTTCTCTTTCTCACTCATATTTGGCCTTGTTCTCTGTAGCTGTTTGGGTACAGAGCTCCTCATCTGCTTTTTTAGTCCAGAAATTTTGAAAAGGGAAAAAAAAAAAAACCTGTCCCATCTGGACCTGGACTCATTATACCATAGCATTAGTGTACTCATTGTTTTGGATTGTTTCCAAAGGAGGCCCATGACCCATTTTGCAGCCTAACACGCAAGGAGGACATGATGGTAATCTCTTATTTTACTCTTAAAAATGGCAGAAGTCTGACTTTAATTGAAGTAAATTAAACATAGTTTTCAGGAAACAATTTGGAACTATAATACTAGATTTTACTCTTTTGGTAAACGAATTGTACCCTGATATCTTAAGATCATGAAACAATCAGGTCTAATTGCAAGTATTATTAAAACGTAATGTTGGAAATGACTCAACAGGGCTGCATTCATGAGGAAACCCGAGCTGGCGTTAACTCTGTTCAGGTGAGGCCAGGCATCAGGATTGGGCCATAGGTTTTAAGCTGTTATGTTCATAACTGTGGGAAAAAGTAAGTCTGTTCCGACGGTGAAATTGCATCATGACGGGTTTTTTTTATCTCCGTTCCCACAGAGCAGCTGCCCTATCTGGGAAGATTTTATCACCAAGGCAGGAAAACTGCAGTCACAGCTCAGGTGAGTGTGTGATAATGTACACATATGACATGTTTGAATGTTTGTTCAAATCTTAATAAGCAAAACTTAAAGTGTGTTTTTAAGCTGCGTAAGAGCAGAAATCACTTTTTTTTTAGAAATAATGTTCTATTAATTTCAGCAATGCAGGTTCTTGTTTGGATATTTTAATTTGTGGAGCCATTTGGTCTCTTTTTTTTCTTTATGTGTAATAATATAGACTTTTAACAAAGGAAGAAACCCATGTGTAAAACAAAGTCAAAATATGTATAAACGACTGGTAAAAATGGTAGATATGTGTGGAGAGATGTTATCCACATACATTATAATCAATTCTGTTGTAACTTGAGCTCATAGTGAATTGTTGCCAGAAGCCGTTTCAGCCCTCCTTTTACCAATCATATCAGGGGAGCTCATGCACGTCTTATATGCATAACAGATTTAATTTTCCTTTTCCTTCTTTAGGGAAATTATGTTTGACCTTGAACAAAATGTTAAAAGGAACTAAAATTATAAAAGTAAATTTATTTGTTTAGTTAAAATCCTGAAGAATGTGCAGCATATGTTAGTTTTGTCCAGAGACATTCCTTTGGTGCCGTAGCAATCAAATCAGTTGAACCATATGCCTCCTAATCATAAACCCAATTTTGCAACTGATTTTGTACCTAATCTACGCTTTTATTGTAGCCATATAGCTTTTAATAACAACAATTATGTTTACAGAATTGCTTTCTTTCCCAACACTAATTGGAGCATCCTTATGTAAGCTTCAATCACCGTTGTCTTATTTAATTCATCTTCTAAAGACTGTAAATGTATACAGCTTCAGGCTTACTTGTTTCAAGTCCTTGTGAACAGCAGTCACCTCTCCTAGTTGGGTTTAAGTGGCCACGTGTCAGAAGACGAACAACTAACGACAACGAAAATAAAAGATCTTTGTCCAACAAGCACGGCAGATACAGACATCCCGTGGTTTTAATTATTCTTTGATTAACTGTGCATGGCATTTCCCCAGCAGCGAAGGTGTCCATGTGTCCTCATGCTGACACTTACTGACAGCTGTATAAAGGTTCAGTGACACAATAATAATCGCCTGGGTGCGCTCGGTGTCCCATTGTTCTGTTTACCTCTCTATTAAGGTTGATTATTGCTGAAATGTTATTCGACTCTCTCCATCATTCAGGGGGTCAAATATGTGACCCTGCCATCCAAAATGTCCAAGGAATATTTGTTAGCTTGTTGCTAATGACTGGCAGTTTTAAAAGTACCATGTTAAAGTTTGGTCATCAGGCAAGTGTTAAAAAAAATAAACAAATTTCCTGACATCCCCATGGAAGCTAAGTGTGAGCTATAGCAATATAGAGCTACCAGTGGGCTGGTAACTGCATTATAATTTACAAGTGGTGTCATTTTTGTCCACATGTGTTTTGCTTTCCAAACAAGTTACAAAAGGGGCTATGTATGAGAATTAAAATGTCAGCAGCATTGCAACTTAATGATAAATAACTCAGAATAATTATCTTTAATGCATTCATATAGATCCCTTTTCCATTAAGATGATGGGTAAGAGCTACTGCTTCAAATGCTTCCCTCCAGATGTTCAATAATGTAGATTTGGTAAAATGCGCAACTAGGAATAATAATCCTTAGCAAGTCCCAGCTACCGTTTCCATGTGCTAAAAACAAAAATGCACGTTGTTATTTTAAGAGTCCATATTCACACAAAAACAAATCAGCCTCATTATGCGTAGGAGCAGTAGAAACCATTGCATTTAAATGCACTCTGTGTTCTCCCAGAATCGCTCAATGAGAGCTTTCAGAAATGTTTACTTCCTGCTTTACACTGAATGTCATTCATGGAAAGATGACTACTCTGTGGTATATTTAGACTAGACTTTTCCAGGTGAAGTACAGCCTGCGACCTGGTCCCAACAGAGGAGTGGTTATGATGTTAGGCTGTGTGTAGATATTTTTCTTTCTTTATGTTGTGTTTGCCAACATGTCTTGTTTTTGGAAACTGACATGTAAGATCCTTTCTGTCCATTTTTAGACCTGGTTCCAGTAATTTTTTACAGTTTTCTGTTTTCCATAAACCCCCAATTGATGGACCTCTGTAATCTGTTTGGGAACTGGACTATTCTGAGCAGCTAACACATGCATGTAGTAAAACACAAACACACCCACCTTCTCATCTCGGTCTGGATAAGTTACCAGACCTTATCCAGTAGTGGTTGAAGCATATGTCAGTGGGTCTATTGCAGCCAAAGGCAGTCTACTCTGTAATTAAGCCCCTCTGCTCCCTTTACAAAGCAGCCAGCATATGAGCCAATTACAGTGTAGTGACAGTTTGGTGGGATTTCATTTCCTTAAAAAAACATAAATGTGTTTTCTGGTAATGGAAATGGATCCCTCTGACACATGCTTTAATATGAGGTAATTTCTCTGTAAATCTGCCAGACTTTTTTTTTTTTTTTATGGTTGATGCAGTTGTATCAGTTGAGCTACAAGTTCATACAGTGTTGAAGCACTATTTGGAGTATTTCAATTATCTTCCGAAGTTCTGATCTAAATTTGGTGTTTTATATCTGATGCAGGCTATAACGGGTGTTCCTACTGTACGAGGATGCATTAAACACCAAGTACCTACTGTGTGATAAGTCAAGCATGTTATGTTCCTGAGACAAGTTCAGCCAACTCAACCTCTTTCTATGATTCGCATTTAGTCACATTCCAGCTTCAGCTTCTCTAAGAATAGATGAGAGCAGTGAATGTATCATTGTCGTAAAGAGTACTCTGCTGTACTGTGGCGTTCTCTGCGGGGAGTTCAGATTGGCCTGGCCAAGGCCTTGTGGAATAGATATGTTAAAGTCATTTGTCTTGACTTATAGGAGGGGTGTGTGCAGATTTTAAAACCAGTGGTAGCAGTCAGGTCCTTGTTGGAGTATGGCTCACAGCTTAAGCGCTTGCTGTACATACAGTGCCTTAGAAAAACATTCACAAACTTTGATATGTTTTACTTTTTGTCACTAAGCAACCATAAACTTCAAGGTGTTTTGGGGAGTTTTTATGTCATAAATAATCTATACTCTCCCATTGCTGTGATGCTTCTTAGTAAAACTCAATGAATTGTCTCCTGAAGTCTCATATTTACTAGAGAGAATCCACCTGTGTGTAATTTGCGCTCAGTATAAGTGGAGCAGTTTTGTGAAGCCAGAGAGCAGTTAGAGAACATTAATGAATTAATGGCATTACAAAGTCCAAAGAACTGCTCGTGGATGAAGTTGTGGAAATGTCACAAGAAGAGATGGGTCATAAGTCAACACCTCAATCTTTGAACATCTCCCACAGCGCTGGAATCAACTATCCAAAACACTTTGGAACAACTTCTTAGGTGCAGAGACCCACAGCTCGGGTGGGACAATCTGTAGACAGGAGTAGTGTTAGTTGTGCACTCTGCAAATCTGGACTTTGTAGAAGATTAACTAGAACAATGTCATAAGAAAATAAAGTTTAGGTCTGTCTTAAACATGATTAGATTTGATGGGCAAAACAATGGAACTACATACATGACGGTTGTGGAAAGCATCCAGAACTGCCATGTAGTTCTGGATGCTACATGGCATCCAGAACTACATGGCAGTGAACAGTTCAAGCTCAGTTCACTGAGCTTGAACTGTTGTGCAAATAAGATGATGATAAGCATCTTATTTGCACAACAATAAGCATAAGCATCTAGACGAGCAAAGCTGGTGGAGACATACCCAAAAAGACGTGTTGCTGTACCTACTGCAGTAGGTGTCTCTGCAAAGTACTACCTCAGTGAGTCCGGATACAATTCAGATTTCCATTAGTAAAAACAACCATGTTTCACTTTTCTTCCACTTCACAAGGTTGCACCCTCTTATGTTGGCTTATGATAAAATTCTAATAAAATATGTTGAAATTTGTTGTAATTGAAAGATTTCAAGGAACTTTAGCAGTGCACCTGTAAATTAAAGCGATGATTATAGCCACATGACTCAGAGCTGAAACAAGGATGCTGAATTTTTACCTGCACAAGAAAATAAGAAACAAATGTACCATTCATTCATCTCCAGTTGAAATGTGAATTAAACTAATCATTATGACTTGGATTCCAATTATTGTTCCTTAACATTTTGCATTCAGTTGTACTGAAAGCGGGTTTTAAGCCACTTATCACACAAATCCACTTTTAGTTAATGATTTAATCTTTGGTGAACGTGATTTGGCTTCAAGCACCTGAAAAATATTATCCATAGACCAGTAAATGCACGTAATAAATAAGTGGAGCCAGATATCAGAGGCTGTTATGGTGCCTGTGTGAGGCTTTAAATAGAAAGGCATCTGCGTGTGCCTGTGCGTGTGTTTCTTTTTCCATTTGCAGGACACACCCATGGATCTTCTGGTCAGCTCTCCCACAAAACACCGCCTGTTAACCAATACTGCATTAAGTTTCTGAAGGAAAAGATTGTTCTGTGGAAGAATATTTGGGCTAACCCAGCGTTTGGTTCGCTTTTCTTATAGAGTTGTGAAAGGCTGCTTTGTGATGACCTGAACACAGAAATCTTTTCCTGCATCTTCTGAAAATGCAAGCTGAAAATCACCCCAATCATTCTGTTGTATATATTAAAAAAATAAAATAAAATGCTTCTCAAACAAATTAAATATTCAGGTAAAGCGAAAACAATCTTTAGTCTCTTCAGAATTGAAATCCTATCCTTATCTTTTATTTACCTGATGCCAGCGTGTAATGGTGATGGGAATTCCCAAGTCGTTTATGGAGGTTTTCTGTTGCCACATAGAATAACAAGTGTTTGCAAATTACCCACTCGGCGTTAGAACAAAAGAGCCTGTGTGAGGGAACAAACTTTGGAAAAATTCTTGACAATTGTGTTACTTTGTGTGGTATGCATCACATACAAGTGGCCCAGTCTCTGTAGCGGGGAGCTCATATATCACGTTCATGCTCCTGTGCACACTAAGCTTCTTTCATCTTCATACTTGTGGTCATAATCCTGCACCGTCTGTTGTTTCTAAACCAGACCAGCGTTTTGGAGGGTAACCAATTACCTTGATTGCTAAAAAGCAGCAAGTTATGAACTTGCATAATAGCTGATCTTTCAGGTACTTGAATAAGGAGCCAGTTGAGTAAGATGGGGGTAATTTTAAAACAAAATCATAATCTTTCACTAGTTGTTGACTGATTTATACGGTTAACCGGTCTTGACCCTCTCGTCTGTCCCTGTGCATGTTCAGTATTTTCTCATTTACTAAAAAATAAGATGATGGGAAAATTAGGTCAGTTTGGCAATCACTTTACGCCCTTTTTATTGCAATGCAGGACTCAACTGAGTTGATCCCACACTGATCCCTTCATTGACCTGGAAGTAAGGCAAACTCAGCGTAATTACTGAGACATTCTTCACTCAGCAGGGCATGTTCAACCTGTAGTTAAAACGCTTGTATTACAGTACATGTTGAGTTGTGAAAACATCGACCTTGATGTTTACTTTACAGAAACCAAATGCATGTACATGTTTTGTGGTTACGCTTGTGTAATGTGTCTTGTTTACACGTCTACACCTTTTCATAAAAACAGCTTTTAATTTTTATTCTTCAGGTCGCATGTTAAAGTTCAGCTTATTAATACACCTCTATGAAAAGATATTTACAACCTTATAGATGGTTTGTTTTGACTTTTTTGACACTCTTAAATGTCAAAGATAACCTGAGTAAATGGAAAAAAAATGGCTTTTGAGTTGGGATTTCATTTATAAAGGGAACAAACTATCCGATTCAACCTGGCCCTGTGTGAAAATATAATTACTGCCCTTGGTAAATCATCTATTTACTTTGATTAATAGCATTCTCTTGGTTCAATTTCATGAGTCAATCCCAGGTCAGATTACATTATGTTGGTGAAAACAGCTCAGAATACAACATATGCCCCTGATCAAAAGAAATTCAAGAACAGACAAGAAACAAATTTCTTAGCAACTAGGAGTCTGGGAAATGTTACAAAGGACTTTGGGACTCCAGCTATTCACAATGGGGGTCATTATCCACAAATGGAGAAAACATGGAACAGCGCTGAACGTTCGTAGAAGCAGGTGGCCTACAGTAACCCTTGATCCTGACTTGTCACTGACATTGGCCCTCCACCACTCAAAATATCTGTTAATTTGGCACATTTGATAGCATTTTGCACAGATTTTTTTTTCTCTTCAGTTTTTCAGCCCCAATCTTCCCATTTGCCTTTCTTATTTAGCATGTTTGCTAATTTAGCCTGCTCTTCGTACTTTCTTTTTTTAAATCAGAAGGGCTTGCTCGCATCTCCCCTTAGTATGCAAAATATCAGATTAACCCAGTCTGACATTTCATTGACTGTGAAGTGCCACAGCGGCAGTGAGGGCGGCTGTGTGGCAACCTTGATGTGCTTTATGGGATAAAGAAAAAGAAGGAGAAACAATTCGTTGTGTTCAGCCTGGAAAAGACTGGCTGTTCAGGAAACCTCTCAAACCTCAAGATGGCCAATCCAAAGTTATCGTCCATTCTCATATGTTGGGTGGGGAAAGTAATGTTTGCCTCATGAATCTGTTTTCCTGTCTTAGGGCGACAGCAGTGGCCGTCACGGTCTTCCTGGATGCTTTCCAGAAAGTGGCCGACCTGGCCACCAACTCAAGAGGTAGGAATAGTCTCTGTATTGTAGTTAACCCAAAATGTTTGACAGCCATGTCACTCTGTTTGTCTTTGCGACTGCATTATGTTGGACTCCAGCTCTTCACCCTACGGTGTGTGGAATGTCTGCGGCTCATTGGCTGCATTGTGTGGCTAATAAATCCATCAGTGCGCTGTTTGAAGCTCTCTTGTTGGCTCTGTGTTTGACCTCTGCTCACCTTTTTCCACTTTCTGTAGCCCAACCCCCCCACCTCTTCTACATCTGGGCTCTCTGCTGCTGCTCTGTTTTCATTCTGAATGTGTGAGAGTGGGAAAGTGGTAGAGTAACAGATCTCATCTTTCCCTAGCTTGGACACTTCCAGCCACGCACTGTCCTATTAATAGGAACTGAAACAGACGCACACATTCGTTACCTCAATCACAGGAGTGAGAGTGATGGAGGAGAGCTGAAGGGAGGTGCAGGGAGTGATCATCCTCTCCTTCGCCCTCTTAGATTATATCAGTTTTTTGTAAAGGGGTCCAGATCAGTTGGCTGAGAAGCCTTGCATCACTTTTCCTCTGCCCTTTTCTCACTGACTTTGACTTGCAGTCTTTTTATTTCGTTCAGCAGTATCACACAGCGCTTGCCGTTTGGTGCACTGCGGCTCAGGCTTTATTTAGATTTAAGAAGCAAGGGTAGATAATGAGCTACGATTTTCAACGTTTATGCACGGCAGGTATTTACCTTCATATTACAACAAGCTCTTTTAACTTATGGAGGTTTCTGCAGTGCATGTCAATCTAATGTAATCTAAATTGATGCGGGAGGTGGTTTTAAACCCAAAATGTTCTGACTTTTGTTTCTTTATGTTGTGATTAGAGGCTCAGAAAGGCTGTGGGTTTGGATTTTAATAACCAACCTCTACTAGCAGAGCGAATAGCTTCAATATAGAGTTAAGGTGCCATTTGTTCAGGCTTCAATCTGACAAAAAGTTAATTTGTTACTTTAAATTTAAATAGTTAAAGATGATAATGTGGGTTAGTAAGGACCGTCCAGTTTAGTGATTCAGAAGAATGAAAAATTGCGTAGATGTTCAAAAAGCACACTAAGAGTTGATCTTTTCCTAAATAAGCTTGACTGGAAGGTGCTGTATTCACAAAACCGAGGATATGTTTTAAGTTATAATTCTCATTTTTGGCTCAGTGAAGAGGTCAGGAATGCCTGCAGTAATTAAGATTAAAAACATGTTTGCATACACTCTTGTTTTTCAGCTTATCAGCTCTTTATACTGCCATCGATAACTTTGAGTTCAAAGAGTCTGTTCCTGTATCTACATTGATACTGAGACAATCTTCTTTTGGCAAGTCATAATTGCCAAGAGGCTGATGAGGAATTATATTGAGATGCATTTTAATTCCTGCCTTTTTTGAAATCTTTTTTCTTCTATCTTTTGCTGTGTCTGTGTTCTTTCAAGTCTTATCCTTGTTTCTACTCACATCACCTGGCATTGAAATCAGTGGTTTGGAGGTCAAAGGTAAATGTTTGAAGAGCTAGAGTAAAAAGCCGACAGCAGTTTATCTCTTGTAGCATCAATAAATGTAGCCGTAAAAGCAACCAGTGCACACAGTGAATGTCATTAAAGCCCTTAATCAAGAAATTGACCTTTCGCAGCTTTTGTAAATAGTTTTATTTCCTTGAGAAATTAACATTAATGGTGCCTTATAAAGATTCAGACCTGTAGACTTTATATCTCATCAGAGTAAAGTTAAGTTTCAAAACAAATCTCTTGACACGTCTATTTATGCAGTAGGCAATCTGAATTCAAGCTTTGGTTGGCTGAGCTTTGGTTACTTGATCTGTTTTCGAAATGGATTGGACTTTTTTTTTTTTAAGCAGAATATAATGCTGATTGGACGGCCCTGCATGTCAGGAGTTGGTTAGTGAACCAGAGCATACTTTTAAACTTTTAATCCTTTTAAATGTTTATAGTATACGTCGGCTTAAATTCTCTGAGTTATCTTTGTGCAGTCAAGTAGAGACTAACACCAGCATTGTAAAACAAACCAAAGCCTTAAAAGGAAGGTGGGAATGTAGGAGAACAGCCATTAGAGAAAAGAGTAACCATATGCCTCTCTGCCTAAATACTTTTCCTTTCACCTTCTTTACTTTTTTATTTCTTGTGTATATACATTTTATATAAAATATATATGTTTTAATCATGCATTTATTTTACATGCAAGCCAGTTTTGGAAAACATCAAAGTATTATGTTCGAATACTGTGGCTTTAAGCTGACATCCTTGTCGTTAAAAAGCCATCTTCTTGCAACTAAAACCTTTTCTTTCTACCATTAATGTGGAAAGGAAAATAATTCAATGAAATGAAAAACAAGCAAATTGTTGAGGTAAGAAGTGAGGTTTCATTTGTAACTTATAAGTTCAAAAGGATCTAAATGAAATAACTGTACAAAGGTAGCAGTAAGGAGAAGGGGACAAAAATATCGACAAAAAAATACAGATTAGGTTTACTTATTGTGGACCTACAGAGTTGTTAGTGTCTTCAAACAGGGTAACAGTTGGGATAGGACTAATTATTTGATTTAATTTTCAACTCATGTCAGCTTTATTGAATTGGCATGTTTTGTAGCCTGACTTTAGAGGGATACTCATAGATCTGGCAGGATGGAACAATCACTTTGACTGTCTGAGACACAGACAAAGCTGTTTTCAGGATATTGCTAAATTCGCACTGAAAGGAAACAGAACCTGTTTAGACAAAATGACTGCACTTCTCTAAGTAGGTAAAGTGATTATTCCAACTACAGGTGTGATGATTTAATTAAATTTTTAGACTAAACTGCATTTGAGAGACCTTGTTTGCTTCCACGTTTCCAAAGCTGTCTGAACAGGAATGGGATTTTCTTCTTCCAGATAAGTATGGAAAAACAAAATAAAATGTGGAGTAACTTTTTGCAGTTCCAGAATATTCCCTGTCCCATTTTCAACATAACTTTTAATATTTACAACAGTCATAGTTTTGTATTTTTTTTTCTTATGACTGATCCACTTCCTCTTTTTTATCTTTTCAGATTTTATATTTAAAGCCTGACCATTACAAACATACTTTTGTTCATTGTCATGTTGAAATTTTGTTTTTAATCTTTGTAAATGTAGTAATGCTGGACTTGGAGGACTTGGAACTGCTAAAATTTGACTTCCAAGTCAAATTTCCAACACATGTGAAATGTGTCGGAAATTAAAACTATTGTTTTTGTACTCTTATTTAAAATAAAAATATGTGGCGTTGAACAGGGTCCAACCTTATATTGTTAGTAGGATTTGCTGCATGAATGTAAATTTATTCAAAGCTTAGTTTGTGGCTGTAAAAATCATCAGGTTGAAATAGAAACTGTAGGATTCACTCTTTCATGCTCTGAGTGCTTGAGCTACAAATATGTTTTTAAGCTGCTGCTGAATTACCAAACTTCTTTGTTTTGTAATTTTTTTTATTTTACTTTTGACGTTGTGTTAAGCACATGGAAACAAATTACAGACAAAACTTGTCAATATATTTCCTTCCGTTTTCCTTTCCTCTGAAATCTCAAAGTTTGCTGGATGAAAAACAGGACAAGGCTCCATTGAAGCCATGACAAAGAGATAACGGAGACATGAGACCATCACGAAAGACCAGCTTCAGAAGTGAATAATCCTCTCTTGTTTCATCAAGCATCAGTTCATTTTCTGTGTGTATCCCCTTCTTTCTTTCTGTTCTCTATCGAGTTACAGACACGTCATAGTTTCCTTCTTTGTGGAACAGCATTATGCCTGTTTCTGTGTGCCTGTTGTCTGTTTTTTACCTAATTTTCTGTGTATCCTTGGATGCTTAACCACAAAACAAATCTGTAGTATTAAGTTCAACATAAGAGTGTGAGGGGAATGAAGTTTGAGTGATTATTCTGGACTCAGCAGACGACCTACAAAGAATGAGCGTATTAATGCTGACACTGAATTGCACACAGGTAGGCTAGTATTGACCTAGATGACTTTTAAAGGTACGTGTGTGGGGCGATTTCTCAGATTCAAATAAATTTACAGCAAATCATGTCTCATTTCCTTCCAATTGCTTTGCTTAATTTATATGAAACTATGCAAAACAATGGACTAATTGGCAGCATCATTAAATCTGTTACTCTCCAACTGTTGGTTGCTAAACCACAGATTCACGTTCACTCACAGCCTGTTCAGATTTTCTCACACCACCCAAGCCATAATAGTTTATTAACAGTCGTAAAAAAGGCCTCGTGTCGGATGTGGGTTGGCAGCTTTTTTTTTTTTTTTTTTTCCTTTTCTTTTGAAAACTGCCTCTACATGAACTTCTCTGTGTGTGCTGAGAATATTAGGTGTTCGTCTCTGGTAGTAATAATGCCGGTGGCTCCTCTAGCAGCTGCAGGGAAGACTCTCTTTAGACAAGTCTGAGTTTGTGGTAATGAAATATACACCTGCCACACAGGCAGCATGTAGAAGCACGCTGGGTCTGTTCAGATGGAAAATAATATTCAGCAGCTGCTAGAATGACTGTGTTTTCCCTGCTCTTGGTGTATGGGATTTTCATTTAAAATCAGGTGTGTTTTTTATTTTACTTATTTTTATTTTATTTACTTACAGCTTTATTTTAGCCGTTTTCTATTAACAGAAATTATTCCTACTGGTGTTAAAATAAACATACATTTATACAGTTTGGTTATACACAATCATACAAACACACATCTGCTTAAATTAGTAGTGGTTTCAGTAGTTATTGTTCAGAATATAATTAGGCTTTGTTATAGTTCACTTTTAAAGTAAACAACAAGCGGGTATTAGACGGGGATGGGGGTAGGGTTCTCGGGTCTCTTCTATAAGTAAAACAATTTTTCTTGCATATTTCTCACCTCTATAAACGCCAAAAACTGCTTGTATGCCCTGACAAGCTGCCATCTCTCATATCAGCTGCCGATGAATATCTGATTGCTTTTTTGAATACAAAAGT